AAGTTTACCAAACCGAAGGCGAGGGTGAGGTAGGGAGGGTGTTCACAGCATCTGTCTGCATTCCTTCGTGGGGGTTGTTGTTAGCAGCTTGAAGGCTGCTATGGCGTCAGATTCGGATAACAAGACTTTGTTTGGGTTAACAAGACTTTGTTTGGGTTAGGCGGAGATAATTTTCCTCTCTGCCTTCAGTCTTTAAACTGATCATTCAAGTCCTCCAGTGAAGCCAATTTAGGTTTTTAATCTTGTCCATACCGTCCGGTGACCCTCTCCGAGATGACATCCATTTTGCGCACCAATACCGGTATCGCCGCTAGAACGTTGTCCAGCTCACGATTCACCTCTAGTAGCGTCCCAGTCTGTGAGGTCTCCACATGGACGGTGCTTTCCGTGGGTGTGGGTCGCCCTCCAATCGCTCCCGTCTTCCCAAATTTCCAGAAAACCAGATATCCTCCCACTCCAATCAGCAGAAATCCAGTGATCATCAGGCCAAACATCCACACGTCTTCGACATCCTCAGTGGACAGCTGGGAGAGGCATACGATCCTCCACTCCTTCCAGGAATCGAGCATATACCCCGCCGGGTGTGTCCCTTGCAGGCAAGTGGGAGCCCCCTGCTCCGTTCTCATTGTTGAAAAGTTCTTATCAATCGCGTTGAATGACCAATTAATCAAATCCATGGTTAAAAAAATAGGGTTTTTCAGAAGAAATGCAGAGAAGCGCTCTGTGGGCAGACAGGACAAAGAGCCTTGGGAAAAAAGATAAGGGAGCAAAAAGAGAAGCGTCTGTACTCTGCGAGTGCCAGAAGAAGAGCAGGGACACGTGTCACCGCGGGCGTCCGTATCCGACACCCGCGGTGACACGGACATTATTCCTCGAACCTCTAGCGATTTAACCTTCCCCTCACCCCTATCCTAACCTTAACTCAGTAATTCTCAATTAAGCTTTGCATGAGTTATCTGGTTAAGGTTAGAATGGGGGTGAGGGGAAGGTTAAGTAGTTCGCAAGTCGGTCAAATGTCCGTCTCACCGCGGGCTTCGGATACCGATGCTCTGGCACAGCGCGTCCTCTCCAGATGCACTGGGGCGCCCTGATCGTCATATTTTGACGCTTGGTCACTTGTCATTTTTCGACGCTTTGGGTGTGAGAATGTGTTGGACCAGCCAGCTCCATGCTCCCTTATTGGAAGCATTGAGTCTGGGAACTCTTCTTTTCAAACAACCCCACCCCTGAGAATTCTAACTGAGCCAATCAGCACTGAGCAGCGTATGTCTCACACACACACACCGAAACGTTGAGTTCCTCATAAACGTGGCCTCCGAAGCGGACTTCGTTGCGGCTGTTTCCTCTGTTCTAAATGACTTGAACATGTCTTTAAAACCACAACAAATAAAAGTGATGAATCATTTAGTCTAAAGAAAGATGTTTGCGCCTTAGCCAGACGCCATTTTTGACTACAGCTAAAAAAACAACAGCGTTGCGTGGTACAGTCGGCATTTCTGCCTTATTTCTGACTGGTTATTTTTGAGCTGGCTAGTCCCGCCCCTCACGTGCCTCTCTACCTGTGAGTAACCAAACTAGTTCTCTGTGTAGACAGACTGACATACAAGGCTTGACTTACGGTACGCAGCACACTTACCCGTTTTTCCACTGCAAATGCATAGGTCACATGCTGACATGTTTATTCAAGTCATGTGCCTCTGTAACCTTCCCTGATTGTCTTTCATTATACTCCATTACCAGTGTTTTGAAAACAAACTACTTAAAAATTAAGTTCATACATTTTAAAAGTTCATTTCAAGGAATCAAAGATCTTTATTTGTCATAGTAAACGCCAAGGACGTAATTTTCACTTAAGAAGTGGGGGGGACACAGGGTGGGGGGGGTGGGTATGGGAATCTTTGCAGTATGTTCTAATGGGAAACAGGCTTCAACACAAACTGTTGTTTTCCGCTTGGTCCTAGAGCTCAACCAGTGTCAATTTAATATAGCGTAATATTGTTTTTGGATGGTAAAAAGTGCAGGGGTCAAAACTTGACTTTGGAAAAAGTGGGGGGGACATGTCCCCCCCCCCCCCCCCCCCCCCCCAAAAAAAAATTACGTCCATGGTAAACGCAGTCGGGGCAGACGAGAAGTTCCCATCAGGAATATATTATAGATCACAGAGTGACAGGTTGTCATTTACGTTTTACATTGAAGGAGTCGTTCTGTTTGGAGTTAGTTTTATTTAGAAATTTTGTCTGAGTGCAGCCTTCTCAGCTGTCATTCATTCTGGTTACCTTGGCAACATGTGTATGATCCAAAGACTGTAGAAAGAGTTGATCAGGGAGCAGTTGTGAAATAAAATATGGACTGAATCGGATTCACACGGTTTATCTGTCGCTCCACAATTTGTCCCAAATCCCTAAATAGTGTGATTATAAAACTCACGACATCGATTCTACAATGTCAGATTACAGTCGGGTGTTTAAGCACCAATTATGTGACTCCGCTGTTTTTCCACCAAAATGATTATTTATTGGGTAAAATAATTCGTAGATGAGGAACGTGTGGACGGCCATTGGTGTTGCGGTTCCCCCATTCTACTACTAGATGCTGTTCCTACGCATAGTCTGAAGTTTTCTTATGTTCTTTAAAAACATTTCCATGCGGTTACAAAATGATGAATACAACACCAAGCATAGATTAGTTCCTACACACGATATACACACAGATCTGTGCATAAATACGGTTGATAAGTGAGGCCTCTAGAGTTCATTTCAACAATAAACTGAACTGTTCCAACAACACAGATACTCTGTATTAGAAGGGTCATAGCCACCTCCAGCTCCTTATGAGGCTGAGGTCCTTCGGAGTTAAATCCCAGCTGCTAAAATCCTTTTCACTCTGCTGTAGTCTGTTGGGGTGCAGGCAGCTCTGACTGAAACAGAAATAGGCTGAACAAGCTAGTCAACAAAGCTAGCTCGGTTCTGGGCTGCCCACTGGACTTAGTTAAGGAGATGTGTGAAAGGACGATTCTGGGGAAGATGACCTACATCTTGGAAACACCCCCCCCCCACCCCCACCCCCCACCACCACCACCACCAACTGCGTTACACTGTGGAGCCATGGACAGCTCCTTCAGAGGCAGACTGAGACATCCCAGATGTCAAACAGAGTGCCGCTGTAGGTCATTCATCCCTCTGCAGTGAGAGTGTATAACTCCTCAATTGAAGTTGTACTGGCATTATCCTGGTACACAAAACATCAATGCAATATTAAGTATGTCTTCAATATTTGTTCAACACTTGATGTACATCAGTATGTCTGTGTTCCTTATGCTGCATGGTTCTTGAAACCCTGGAAATAGTTTTTTTTTTGTGTTGATTTTATTGGTTGAAGCTTACAATAATGGGCTCGACACACGGGAGGCGACATCGCCTCTCCTCCATTCATTTTCAGTGAGACATGCGCGACAAAGCGATAATCGCGGGTATCTCTCCTACTAAGCGAAACGCGAAAAACCTGCGTGTGAAATTTTGCGCTCGTGCACGTGTTGTGCACAGGCGACCCAGCAACGCGATCCCAGAAAGTTGAAACAATTTCAACTTTTCATCGCTGTCGCCCGGACGAGGACCAATCAACGGAGGTTTCATTCACTGACCAATGAGCGGACAGGATGCTCCGTACATCTCCGAGCAAACATGAAGGAGAAGTTATTATTATGTTTTATAGTAAAATCAGAAGTAAGATTTCACATAACTCTAGCAGCACCTTGTGAAACATCATATCTACCGCTTTATTAACTCTGAACCGCTTAAATAACCTTAATTCCCTCCAACCTGACACAGCCAAACAAAACAACGGAAGTTTCAATTTCGCCATGGAACAGAACGCGTAGACGGCTTTGCCGCTGGCCGCTGCCGCGGGTCGCCTCCCGTGTGTCAGGTAATAAAAGTGACAGCGACAAATTTCGCTGATTGCGGTCGTTTGTCGCCTCCCGTGTGTCGAGCCCATAATAGCTTACTGCCTTCAAGTGTTTACTTCAAATATTGTTATTACCTTTCTTCTTCCTTTTCTTTAAGTGTGTGTGCTGCTGTAGAAAGTGAATGTCCCCACTGTGGGATTAATAAAGTTTATTCTATTCTATGACACAACTACAGAATCAATTGTTGACCTGCAACCTAGGCTGCCCAGGTGAAACATGTACCAACGTCTGCATTTTGCAACTGCTTTGGCAGTGAGTGATGTCACATCAGCGCCAGAAAGACCCTAACACAGCGGTACTTAATAGGCAGCCCACAGGCCAGGTCCATCCTGTTGGGTCCTTCTTTGTGGCCCCCGAACCACCAGAACCCACCCCGATCCGGCTGTCGCATTTGCACCGGAGGGGTAGGAATGGCGCTGGTGTGTATTGGTGTTTGGTTATAGTGCAGAGGTGTGTGTGGAGTATGATCCAGGACAAAATTTACCTGCCTGCCGAGGTTCCACGTGCCAGCCCCGTCACAGGCATGCATCGCTCAGCAGCATTAAATAGGAGCATTGCTGCTACTTTTATACATGTTCATAAAATAAACACATCTTTTACCCAATGCACTTCCCAAACAAGTAAAAGTGAAACTTAAGACAACTTGGATGTGTTTTCTTCTCATTTCAATGATTTCCTGAAAATAATTTCCTTTTTTCTTCTTGTTTTAATGCTTTCCTGGAAAGTATCGGATCGGGACTGGGTATTGGCAGATGCTCAGAATGTAATGACTTGGAATTGGATTGAGAGCAAAAACATGATCGGCACATCCTTAGTCTTTAATGCAATTACAGAATTAACAGAAAGGGTTTACCTCAGTGAATAAAATGGTAACTTCCATGCCCTTTCAGACAGGTAAACTCGAACTTGAAACCTTATGGTTACAGGGCAGGCACTTAACTCCTCTGCCACCATCGCCAGCATGATGCTAATGCTAACCTTCTAGAAGCACATTTCATGCCTGTATCCTGTCTGTGAATTGTCACTCTTCCTGCAGCTCTTTGAGATCACGGTGCCGATCACGCAGGGAACCAGGCCGGTGACCGTCAGTGTGGCTAACCACACCCAGTGCAGCTGTTTGTCTAAACTTGATATCTACAGACAAGTTCACAGCATCATCAGAAGAGCCTTGCCTGAGTAAGCTTTATCCTTTACCATAATACACACACACACACACACACACACACACACACACACACACACACACACACACACACACACACACACACACACACACACACACACAGTATGACAAAAAGGATACACAACCTAAAATAACTTAACTACAAGTGAATGGCAAAACATCAGATAACTTAAACGTTGGTCTTAGATAAGACTTTAGTGTGGATTTCTTCTAGTTTGTTTTGATGATCGAGTCTCCCTCACATTCGTTGTATAGTTATTGTGTTTTATCATGCTGGATAAAGTAAAAGTTTTGCCAAATGTCTTAGGCCTAGTCCACACGTAGCCGGGTTTTTTCCAAAACGAATATCTGCCCCTCCAAAAACTTGCATCCACACCACCTCGTTTTAAAAATAAACTGTCCACACGTACCCGGATAAATACGTTGTTAAGGACATGCCAGACCTGTAGGCGGCAGTACTTCCCCCGTTCTTAACCTCGCCCTTCGTCTGTGGTCTTCCGCAAGGAGCAGTAATTCCGCTTGCAAAAACAAACAAGCAAAAAGCGCTTGGACAATTGATAAAGCGTGCGCAGCTCTGAGGGCATCCATGCTGTTGGCTAGTGTAAACACAGGTCGCACACGTGATGTCAGCATTTTTTTGTCGCGGAAAGTGACGTTGTGGACCTTAAAACTCCGGTTTTGTCTGTCCACACGCAGACACCCAAAACGGAGAAAACGTTGGCCGGAGTTTTTAAAAAGATCCGTTTTCGTGTGAAAAAACTCCGTTTTCGTGTGGATGACAGGCCAAAACGTAGAAAAATATCTACGTTTTGGCAGATCCCCGGCTACGTGTGGACAGGGCCTCAGTATGGTATAAAACATTTCTCATATTCAGATGATTCCATTCCTGGGTACATTCCAGCAGAACTTTCAAAAAAGGATACCCTGATACCAGCATCAGCATGAGCCCAAATACCGCAGGTGTGTTTGTTCTTGTACTTATAACAGTTAGCCTGGCAAGTAATCCTATATATGTGAATATGTAGTCTAGCCACTACCCTTAGACAGATCTCATTTGTTGGGCGGAATCTACGGTTGTCTTTCAAATCGTCTCCACGTGCTATTGGACAAAGAACAATGTGACACACTCACCGCTATGGATGTCAGTCAACAGGACAGTCAGACATACACTGTCGAAGAAGACACAAACACATCCTTTTTCTAAACGAAGGACTTAAGTGCCTCTATCTTTTCTTGACTCAGAGAAAAGCATAAGTCTAAATAGTCCAAAGTTGTTTCAAACATGCCGCCACCATCTTCAAAGTTTCACTTTGTCACAGCATCCCGCCCACCAAACCGATAAAGCACTGTGACTGGCAAGACACAAAACTGCCCAGGCCAATGGTAGACCTGCTGTGACTCCAATGTAGCATGTGTTACAAGTACCAAGTCCAGGGCAAAAGATGCTAAGTTACCTGAAAACAGGATAAACAGAATAAAATGATGAGGCAGGAACCGTTTCTGTGCTTTACAAATCCTCTCGGGTCGGTTCTGATTTATTAAACATATACAGGGTGGGCCATTTATATGGAAACACCTTAATAAAATGGGAATGGTTGGTGATATCAACGTCCTTTTTGTGGCACATTAGTAGAATAGAATAGAATAGAATAGACTATTGACACAATGGGGAAATTCACTTGTTTACAGCAGTGCCATCACTTAAGATAAATAGCTACAAATGTACACGTATAGGGAGCCTAAGTCTTCTAAAGGGTCCCCGGAAGAACAAAAACATGAATGCAAGTCAATGGAGTTAAATGCTATTTTGAAATCCGCTTTGCCTTAGACCCTAGATCACATATGTTGTACTGCAATTTAAATGAAAAGTAATGATGGGTGTTTCGACCATGGCTGTGACGTACTTTGAGATTTATCAGCTTGTAAAAGTTTGTAATTAGCATGATTACACACCGGAAATTGCCACGTCGCGTATGTGACATCACCACATAATGTCCTCTCCCCTAGCGTAGCTGCTACTTACCACATGACCAGATTTATGGTGGTTCTTTCCTCCTGTGGGAAGTTTGCTGAACTTACAGCCCTTTTCCCTCAGTTTTCTCCGTGTCTGGTTCGATGACGTTTCTTTTGTGAAGCGCATTTGTAGTCCTGGACTTATTTCCACACAAAATCTAAAATAGCGCCCTGTTCGAAAATAAGTGCGGTCTTGGTATCAAAATGTGTCTTTTAAAATTCACGGACATCACATGGGAAATCCATGGCACAAAACAAGTGGCATTAGAAAATAGCGTTTTTAGCCCCATTGACTTGCATTCTTTTTTTTTTTTTGTTCTCACGGGGACCCATGGTCTGGAAGAAAATGGGCGTGACTTAGGCTCTCTATATATACACATAGGTGGTAATCTAGTATTGTAACCTTTGACTACTAAAAACCACGAATAAACTTGGGTTCCAACACAATGCAGCATACTGAAAGAAACACAGACATGCTATGGAAATCCGGTATTGCACAAGTATTGAACATATAATGAATATTGCATTGGTGTTATTGTGTACTAGGATAATGTCAGTACAGCTTAAACTGAGGGGTTATACACTTACTGCAGAGGGGATGAATGGCCTACGGTAGTGTTCTGTTTTACATCTTGGATGTCTCAGTCTGCCTCTGAAGGAGCTGTCCATGGTCTCCATAGTGGAATGCAGTTGGTGGGAGGATTTTTTGTAAGATGGAGCTCATCTTCCCCAGCACCCTCCTTTCACATGTCTCGTCAACTGAGTCCAGCGGGCAGCTCAGAACCGAGCTAGCTTTGCAAGCTAGCTTGTTCAGTCTCTCCCTGTCTCGGTCAGAGCTGCCTGCACCCCAACACGCCAGAGCAGAGTGGATAACAGGGCCAACAACAGTCAAATCTGTTAAAAAAACTGGTTAAGCTCATAAGCCCAGTTCTGGTTCCTCTTCAGCAGACTCACTGACACCACTCCTTCTGTGACCTGTGATGTACCTGAGGCCTCTCCATGCCCCTCGAGCATTGTTCTGCCATAGCTGTTTCTCCAGCTTCTACCTGTAGCCGTCTTTAGCCCGTCTGATCTTATATTTGAGCTCCTTCAGGACTTGTCTCTGCTCCTCTTTGTCTCCAGCCATATAAGTGTGGTAGCCTCATGGAGGGGGCCATTCCTTGAACACTGCTTCTAACCACATAAACATTCTCCCTCTCCTGATAATAACATCTTACTTTCTTTGACACTAAATGTGCTACTACTAGTTTACCTGTTTAATCATAGATTCACTAGGATAAATACAATAAAGTTTATCTCTCACCAAATAGAATATTTACTAAGAAGTCATAATTTAACAATAAAACACTACTTGGTGTGTGTGTGTGTGTGTGTGTGTGTGTGTGTGTGTGTGTGTGTGTGCGTGTGTGTGTGTGTGTGTGTGTGTGTGTGTGTGTGTGTGTGTGTCTGCTCTATCTTCTCCATCCCCAGTGAGTCATAGCGGATGGCTGCTTATACTGAGCCAGGATCCTCTGGAGGTTTCTTCCTGTTAAAAGGGAGTTTTCCTCTCCACTGTCGCTACATGCTTGCTTAGTATGAGGATTGCTGTAAAGACACTGACACTAGTCAGTGACTCAATGCAACCTGCTGGGTTCCTTATATAGGAAACTTTTTTCTGATTGGCTTAATGAACTGACCTGAATTGGAATGTTTTCTGTGTGAAGTGCCTTGAGACGACTCTTGTCGTGATTTGGCGCTATATAAATAAAAAAAATAAATAAATAAAAGCTTATTTCTTATCGTTCAGCAGGGATTTCAGCTCAGTGGTCAACCAGGGTTTATTATTGGAGAAGCACCTCACTCTTTGTGTTGGGACTGTGTTCTCTACACAGAAGTTAACATAATCAGTGACACAGTGGGTCAGGCTGTCAAGGTCATCACCATGAGCGCTGCAGAGTGTCTCCCAGTCTGTGGTTTGGAAACAGTCCTGCAGCCTTTCTACTGCTCCCTTAGTCCACACGTTCACCGTTTTTTTTTTTTCTGAGGAGGCTCCCTAATCACCCTAGGTGTGTACTCAGGGTTCAGGTAGATGAGTTTGTGATCTGAGCGGCCGAGCGGAGGGAGGGGGAGGAGGTGTATGTGTTTTTAACATCAGCATACAGCATGTCGGTCAACTGTCCTATTGTCTCTGGTGTGGCTTCATATACTGGGTAAAGGTGGGGAGGGGAGGAGTGTGAGGCGTGATTAAAATCCCCTTTGATGAGAATGAGCGCGCCTGGATGGGCCGTCTGCAGCTTCTCCACAGAACTTTGGAGCCGCAGTGACCGCGTCTGTGTACGCCTTAAACGCTGTTACATGTGAAAAGTCTCTCAGGATAACTGCATTGTTGGTTCTTTTTTAAAACACAGAAAAGTTTTCTTTTTTACCTTGCTAACATTTCGTTCGTGGCTGCAAACTTCCTCAGGGCTGACGCTGATGGTGGTGTCACTTCCACTCCTTTTATCCGCGGGCAGCAGAGGACGTTGTCCTCCTCTGCTGCCCGCTCTTCCCTCTCTGATGATGCGGTCCCATGCACGATCCAATGTGTAGACCCCATTGTCCCTGTTCATGGTCCCGCATCCACGTCTCCTTATCTCGATAGCGTCTTTTATCCATCTTTTGTATTTCTGTTGTTCGGTGTTTATGATCCTTGTGTTGTCCCAGTCCATTATATGGTTTTCTCTTAAGCAGTGATCTGTTACGGCTGACTTCTTTATTGTGCTTTCTGCTTCTTCTTTTGCTGCTCTTGTGTGTTTATGACTTGTTTCTTTCTCACACTCCTTTCTATGTTCTATTGTTCGTGTGTTGAGTTGGTGTCCGGTTTCTCCTATGTATGTTTTATTACAGAGTTTGCGTGGGATTTCGTAAATGATCCCACATTTAAGTCCAGCTGGTATCTTGTCTTTTGGGTGTACTAGTCTGTTTCTAACTGTTGTGTATGGTTTTGTCGGTGTGTTTATGT